GCCTAAAGGAACTCTCAATATTATAACCTTTGGTCACTTCTAAAGTCTAGTAACTAGTTCAACTCATGGCCCAATTTTTAGCCAACTAAATGATAGGTCTATAAGGGAGACGGTAACACTAGTGAGATATTTACACTGTATAATGATCAATAATTTGAGATAAAAATTGAAGAATTTACACAAGTACAAAGATGAGAATAATTAGGAAAAGAGGACAGATGGAAAAAGGAAGAACTGGGAGGAGTTGGGATTATGGATCCAACAGTCAAGAGACCAAATGACACATTGCATTGGGTAAATCTGCTGCGCAAGACCTCTTTAAAGGTTGAAAAGCATAGATGTTACTTTGAGGATTAAGTTGTGCCTGACAAAGGCATGGAATTTTCAATCATCTCAAAATGCTTGTAAAAGTTGGACATTGAATAAGGGAGACTGAAGAAGCATCAGTGTATTTGAACAATGATATTGGCAAAGAACGTAGAAATTGACGTGAGCTGCAAAAAGAGCAAACAAATCGGACTTGGTCAAAGGACAGCCAGAATGTTCCTTAGAGGCAAGAATAGCAACACTTAATCTTACACACTTTGGGCATGTTGTCAGGAGAGACCAGTCCCAGCCAAAGGCCACCGTGCTTAGCACGAGAGAGTAATAGTGAAGAAGAGGAAGGTCCTTAATAAGATAGATGTCACAGTGGCTACAACAATGGATTCAAACGTAAGAACAATTTTTAGGATGGCACAGGACCAGGCAGGGTTTCCCTCTGTTGTATGTAAGGTTGATATGTCAGAACCAAATTCACAGCACCTAACAACGACAGCAACAACAACAATCTATCTATAAAAACCCCTATAGCATGAATAGAGAATGGATATATATATATTAGTTAAACCAAAAACCAAACTCCCTGCCATCAGGTCAATGCTGACGCATAGCACGCACCTGTAGTTTACAAGACTATAACTGCTCATGGGAGTATAAAGCCCAGGCTTTCTTCTGAGAAGCTGCTGGTGGTTTGCAATGGCTAGCCATGTGGATTGCAGTCCAACACATAATCACTACACCACCAAGGCTCCTTATACTGTAGTCTTGTTTTTTTGTATAAGAAAGAACTTTATATATAAGAGGAGTTGAATATTGAGAAACCATCCCAGCCTAATCCAGATCAAGTCCATAAGTCCGATATTAGCCCATATGTCTGATATCAATCTATAAAGTCCTCTTCATGCAATGACACCAAATGCAGGACAATCACAGACCAGTGGGTGCAAAGTCTTGTGAATCCAGTGGTGGTAGAAGCATCTCAGCACTGGCAGGGGTCTCCATATGACTTCTCCAGTTCCCAGGGTATGGGGTCTATGGGCATAGCACCATGTGTCTTCTCAGTAGAGCGTCTCCAAGGGAGTGAGCAGAGAGAGAGAGTTTAAAAAACAGTACAATTAATAGAGGCTGATATATATGTGATAACCAGCTGAAGTATGCCCAAAGGAATATTAAAACAATAATAAGAAATGATATGGAAAACAGGTTCTATTATGATCAGCAAAACAATTTTAGGGAATGTTAGTTTAAATTAGAGAGGCTATAGTAGAGATCTTCATTAATATGGCTGCCTAGGCTTCTTTCCATCAGAATTGATTTTATATAGTTTAAGGTTTACAAGTAGGGCTGGGACTCAAATTTAAGGTCGTTGTAAGTAAAGCAATATGAGAAAACAAATTCAGAGTATAATTTGCTGAGGAAACCAGAAGGAATTCAAGTTTTTGTAGATAATTGGAAAATTCTATATAATTATTAGCCTTTATAATAAATAAATAGCACATAAGAATTCCTTTGCTTTTTCTGTTTTACATAATTTATTTTCAAGTATAACTGATTTGTGTTGGTGTTGTTTTTGTAGGTATTTTTAAATTGTAAAGTATGTGAGCGTTTGCATTTCAGATCGCCAACTTTGTATACAACAGTTTAGATGACCCATCAACCTCCCCAGTACCGTACCTCCATAATCCACTACCTGATTTACTTTTTCACTCTGTGGACTACTATCTCCTATTTCATGCATGTTAATAATCTTGAGCTGTATATGCCATTGTTTTATCATTCCTCCCCTGTCTTCAAAGTCTATTCTGTTTGAAATGAAAGTCTTTCATGTCTTTCTTCTTTTTTGTAGTTATCTTTTTATTGTATAATATATAACCATAAATAATGCACTTATCAATGCATGTGTAGAGCCCAATGATCCAGTGACATTGACTACATCAATCAGCCTTGAAATATTCCTCAAGCAACTTACGTCATTTTTTGGTTCTGAAATAATTTAAATCTGTGGAATGGGTCAAAAATTATCATGATCTTTACAGAATTAATGTTATAAAACACTCATAATGTGAACTGGATGGATGATGAGTTAAATTCATGGAATGTATGCCCTGTACTTTCATTTCTTACTCTTTATCTGTTACTGATAAAAAATGCAATGCTTTTTTCTTTTTTGCAGTGCTTTTTTTCATGACTATTATTTTTATTCAGAAGAGAGGCTCTCTACTGCTACAATGATTTACAGCTGCAGAAACCCTCAATTGTATCTCTCAGTCAGAATTGACTCCATGACAATGTGCTTTGAGTTTATTTTTATTAAATGTTATTATTATAAATCACTGATTTTAACTAGAAGATTAAAATTCAAAAGCAGTTCTTTTACTACAGCTTCTTGCTATCCAAACTGGGTGTTGTTAGTTGTAAAGTGCTGTCTGTTGAGTCCATTTGGACTCATGGCGACTCTGGGTACAATAGTCAGAAAGACCACCTCGTCCTGCAGCATTCTCAAAATTGTTCTGATATTTGCGCCCATTGTTGCAGTCACTGTATCAAACTATCTTGCTGAGGGCCTTCCTTTTTTTCTCTGTCCCTCCACTTTACTAAGCATGATGTCATTCTCCAGGGACTGGTCTCTCCTGATATGTTCCAAGCGCATGAGTTGAACTCTCGCCACCCTTTTCCTCTAAGGAGCATTCTGACCGCACTTCTTTGCCAAGACAGATTTGTTTGTCCCTGTGGCAGCCATAGTACTGTCAGCAGTTTTAGCCAGCAGCATGCATCAACTGCATTGACTCTTCTTCCGTGGTCCTCATTCACTGTCTAATTCTCACCAGCCAAAGGCAAAGGAACATACTGTGGCTCGTTTCAGGTGCATTTTAGTCCTCAAAGTAACATTTATACTTTTCAACATTTTAAAAAGGTCTTGTGCAGCATGTTTACCTAATGCAATGTGTCAGAACTGAATAGAGAATGCAATTTCTTGCACTCAGACATTACGTTTCTCACCTGTGGCAAGCCTAGTAAAATAATGTCAGCAACATCATTATTCATCATGTCTATAGATATTTTATTCTTATGGCATTTCTGCACAGAGAAACTTAACATTCCTTAATCTCTTATATTCAGGACTCACATATTTACCAGGATCCTAAAGACAGTGTTGGGCTTCCATTTTGTTTTACTTGTGATGAAAGACCTCCAAAAATAAAACAAAAAGAAAAGAACAAACTAACAAAAGCGAGTAAAAGAAAAAAATTACCAGTACCTGAAAAAATGTACCGGAAAAAAATGCTTTAGTCTAATATTTTTTGTTCAGAAATTGTTCTTATGTGTTTCATGTCTGAACATGAATAGAGAGGAGTGATTTTTAAATAATACATAGAAAGGCTTATCTATAACAATAGAGCTACAAACAATCAGAAAAACAATCCAATGCAGTCTCTGTCTAATCGTCAGACGTTTCAAGCAGTAAGAGGAATCCTTCTGTGAGCCATAGAAAAAATAAATGTGGAGCCCATTGGAACATAATTTCAATCAGCAAGATGCCACCGCTTTCCAGATTTCCTCACAGGGCCCTCTTAATTCCATGCCAAAACTAGCCGTGGATTTCTTCCTTCTAATCTCCCCTAATGCCCGATTCGATTATTGTCACCGCTCTCCGCCCATGCACTGTGCTCGCAGATTCGCGGTCCTCCACGGAATCCGTCAGAGGACGCTGTCAGGAGAGAGTCTCCAAAGGCCGACGGCCACCGAGTTGCTTGTCACTAGAAGGCTTCGGAGACAAGGAGAGCAAGGAAACCACCTCAAAGTTTGTCTGGAAAGCTTGTCATCCATTGGATTACTGCTTGGAATCAAGCCAGGAAAAGGGATATGAGGCGTTTGGAAGATTGCTCTAGTTGAGGAGCTCGTAGGAGGGAGGAGGCTAACAGAAAGAGGATGGGCTGAGTCTCTTGGTGCATTGTAGGATGGCGTCAGCTCTGTCCTGGTTCTACTTTATTCTTTGGTAAGTATGATTCATTTACTGGCGTTCTTGTAGGCAAGGCCAAATCACGGAAGAATCCAAGGGTGGTAAGGCATGGATGTGTGATGAGGAAGACTGAGGGGGCTTGTACTGCGTATCTTGTTGAGGCCACTGTGAGACTCATTGAGCCCGCACTTACAGGATAGACAATGCTCTGGGAAATCTTGAAGATGCGGAAAGCCTCTACTCCAGGAATATCAGCCGGATCCTGGACAATCTGCTTGAAGGCTATGACAATCGATTGCGGCCAGGATTTGGAGGTAAGTGACAGCATCCTTGTTAGACAAGACTGCTGTTCCATCCTTACTGTCCCTCCAAGTGCCAGAGGAGTTAGAAAGTAGTTAATTTCATAATGGTAAAGTGCAGCAGTGCCAGAGTGAGGTCCTGAGGATCCCTGGCCAGCCTCTGTCTCCTTCCCAATGACCAGCCTTATGCAAATTACTTAAACGTTCTAAGCCTTGGTTTTGCCAACAGTAGTGTGGGTGCACTAGCAGTGCTTGCCTAATGAGTTTTGAGGGTGTTTAATGATATTCTCCTTGTAAAGCACTTTAGCATCTGGCCCATTTATATTTCTATCTGGGCTGTCAATAGGTATTACTTATATTATAATTTTTAGTAGACCATGAACCCAGTTCTCCTCTACTCCTTAATGTTTTCTCAGTTTGATCAGAATACATTCAAAATCAGGAAACTTATGTGAATTTTCAGAGCGGAAAAGCACAAGAACTCTGCTCCTGGGATTCTCTTAGGAAGAATTGCAGATTTGGGCACTGAGTAAGGTCTTCACAGTGGAGTTTTAAATTCATTCCTTTAACACTGTTGGTGATAAATGTTCCCTCTGTACTAATTTCAGGTGCTGTGACAGAAGTCAAAACAGACATTTATGTGACCAGTTTTGGGCCTGTGTCAGATGTGGAGATGGTAAGCAAACTCTAAACGATGAGGAGATTTATACTTAGGAGAAGAGGGCTGAATTCTAGAAGTACAGATAATAGGAAGGGCTGTCAAGTTGACTCCGATTCATGATGCAACGTATATGCTCAGCCTGAGAAAGGCACTGCCATCAGAACACATTACTGGCTTAATCTCTCATATTTCATTAAGTACCCCCACCTGGACACTTCAATCTGAGGGAATTTTTAAGATTATATCATCCTTTATGTCAACACACCATACACTAAATTCTCAACAAAGGAAAGGTTTTCCATTTCTTGTGAAGACCTAGAAAATTTGTTTTAAAGAGGAAAATAAAAACATTCAGGTTCTAGTCATGTGAGAGAATAGTGAGGTTATTTATGCATTTTAAAACATAACTCTCTCTTAGAGTTAGTAGCAATATGTTTTATTAAAATGATAAAGGGCTTTGGAAAGGCTGCCACATTCCACCTTGCACAGTGAGGATGGACCGGCAGGGGTTCTGGGGGCTCCATTCCAGGTACAGATGGCTGTAGGATTCCTAAGAGAGTATTTATAGTAAATACCTGAGTGAGTCTTCTGTAAGAAGATATATCACCGTATTCTTACATAGATCTAAGGTCCTATTTTCTCCAAAATGAAATTATACATATTTACACTGAATAAAATTAGCTATCTCTACAGATGGATGCTATTAAGAAGTAGGATTCAAATAAGATATTGGAGTCTTATGGTTTTTGCTTTGACAATTGAAGAAGAGACTAACAAATGAAGTTGGACGTAAAGGGGAAGAAAGTGTACAAAGGAGAAGCAGGAAGAAGAAAGACACAAACAAAGGAGAAAGAGAAACAAACAGCTTATCAAGATAAAGTGCTCTCTTTACGATCTTATTCTAGATAGCATCTGAGGAAAGAGAAGAGTTACCATTATCTACAATCCTATGTTTTATAGCATCATATTTTTTCATTTGAGTACCTACCCCACAGCATTTTAATTTGGAGTTAAGTATTTTAATAATTTGGAATATACTTGGAATTTTGTTTTATAAAAATATACCTTTTAAAAGCCTATTTGTACAGGAGAGCACTATTATTGGCTGAATTGTCAAAGGTCAGATTAAATTTTTAAAATACAATCATTCATCATAATAGAAGTCACAAACATATAATAGGAAAAGCAATTATTGGCCACATTTTTGTATTAATGAAAAGTTGTTGCTTATAATTGATTTTGAAATGCCCATTATCATAAATCTTAACATTTTAATAAAAGACACAAGTTAAAACTCATAATTTTGATTTGCATATTTAAGTGATGCTCTATTTAGAGTGGTCATAGTGACATTTCCGTTTATATTTTCTGAAAACAATATAAATGGATCATGATGTGCTTGCGCACTGTGCTTGGAAAGTAAAAATTATCTATTTTTAACTAAAAGCTTATCTAATTTTACTAAAATATACAGCAGTACATACAGAGTCCAATGTCACGAAAAACTGTTAGATTAATTGATAAGATGAAAGCCAGCACAAGGCCTAACTTATGTTTTTAATATATCTTTCTTCTGAGTTAAGGAGCAAGGTAAACATGTCAAGTGGGGGCTAGAGACATTACGGGATGGTAGACTGAGTGCTGAGAAAGCGCCAGGTGGGAGAAGACGGTCTGCACAGTTCAGTGTTCCCTCACATCCCCATCTTTCTGAGCATGAGAGCTCATAATTAACTGAAATGATAGATTTATTGGAAAGTTAGTGTCATAACGAATTGGTGTATTTTCTGTTTTAAGACTAGGTATAAGGCAATGAATGAATGATTCCCAACAAACTAGCTCCCTAAAGGACATAAATATCTTATTTTCTCTTAGGAGTATACAATGGATGTTTTCTTTCGCCAAACTTGGACTGATGAGAGGTTGAAGTTTGGGGGACCAACTGAGATTCTGAGTTTGAATAACCTGATGGTCAGTAAAATATGGACACCTGACACCTTTTTCAGGAATGGCAAAAAGTCAATTGCGCATAATATGACAACTCCCAATAAACTCTTCAGAATAATGCAGAATGGAACCATTCTGTATACGATGAGGTAAGTTCCTCAATTCTATTTTCTCTGAGCAAGTGATTTGTTCTTCATATCACTCAGAACCGATTGTTTTGCTATACCCAGGCTTACCATCAATGCCGACTGTCCCATGAGGCTGGTTAACTTCCCTATGGATGGGCATGCTTGTCCACTCAAGTTCGGCAGCTGTAAGTCACAAAAAACCTTGTGAGAGTCAAATAATAACTTTCAAAATACAGGTTTTTTGTGGTTGGAATCACTAGAAAGTATAAGGGTAATGATATCATGCTATGATATTTACTTAATACACTATGTAAAACTTTAAAAAGTGCAGGTCTCTTTTCAGATGAATAGAAATCATTCAAGCAATTTTTGTCTGTGTTTCTGATTTAAATAAACCAGTCTTCTTTGAAAGAAAAGGAAAGAAATACTCAGGCTCACTGTTTTGTTTAATTTGTTTCCAAAAATCAGATGCTTACCCTAAAAGTGAAATCATCTATACATGGAAAAAGGGACCACTCTACTCAGTCGAAGTTCCTGAAGAGTCTTCAAGCCTCCTTCAGTATGATCTGATTGGACAAACAGTCTCCAGTGAGACAATCAAATCTAACACGGGTAAGAATTTGGCCATCAAAGTCAGACCGAAACACACTTAAAAACAAAAACAAAACCAAATCTATCCCCATTTCCTCTGTACTTCCTCAGCTAATGTTGGTGTTTTGAAATGAATAACTTTCCTTAAAACTGATTTTTTAACCAGATGCACATAAACATTCGTGGACCCTTGGAATGAGTTCTATTTGTGTATCGCACAAAGAACACCACCGGAAATAATGAATTGTCTCCCTTTGCTCTGTCATTTGCTGATCAAGTAGCTTTGTCATACACTGAAATATATCTTTGCTTGTTTTCTTTTAGCTCATGCTAATTTAAAAGCCCTGCATGACTCATTTTCTGCTGTATTCTTCTGCACACTGTCAACAGCAATAAGATATGTGTGTCTCCCACCAGGTGAATATGTAATAATGACCGTCTATTTCCACTTGCAAAGGAAGATGGGCTACTTCATGATACAAATATACACTCCGTGCATCATGACAGTCATTCTTTCCCAGGTGTCTTTCTGGATTAATAAGGAGTCTGTCCCAGCAAGAACTGTCTTTGGTATGCCTCCCCTTCCTCTCTGATTCAATTCAGCCACCATTTCTCATTGCCTGTGTTTCTTAGGGAAATGTCAAGTCAGTGCGCATTTTTTAACCTATAAAGGATATAAGCTCATATCATTCAGACATATCTATCATGTAAAAGACCATCTTTCCACAAGGTGAGTGGAAAGATCTTGTGGTTTTTATATGTTCTAATTTTTTGTTACTGTTTGCCTTTTTTTTAAGTAAGAAAAAGCTAAAAACTTTATACAAACCCGATAAAAACTGTTTCGTGTACCCTTTAAATCAAAAGACTAATAACATATAAAGTATATCCCATTCTCATACAAAAATCCCAGCTTTGCACATCTAGATGTTATACACCACCAGTGTTCTATGCCTCAATATAAGTATTTAGTTCCAATTGTGATGTTTAGAATCTCTTTTACTGCCAATGGTTTAACATAGAACACTAATTAGGCAAATAACTATTACAAATTATCATCAAAAAACTTTAAAATTATAATTAATATAGCAAAATCTAACTTTACTTATTTTACATTTAGACTTCATAAAGAATACATGAATTAAACTGAAAATCCAGATGAATCTTTCTCTTTATGTAGTGTGCTAGAGTTGTTTTTTCTTGTAAATTATTAAAAGGATATCCATGTAACGATGTTGACTATCAAGATTCCAAGAACCAAACTCAGCGTCACTGAGTCGCTTCTGACTCACACAGAAGGTGCAGGCAGGGCCGAAGTGACTGCGTGCCTGAGACTGTGTAGCCCCTTCCAGAAGTAGAGAGACGCATCTTCCTCCCTATCAACATTAAACAACTCCAAATTACATACATCCCCAAGTCGTAATTCAAGAACAGCTGCGGGCAGATGAGTAATAATAAAATCATTTTCTCATGAAAAAGTTTTAAAAAGTTTTAAAACTAGCTTAGAAATTTTAATTAAAAAAAGAAAAAGAAGGCAAAGTGGCATCTAATTTTCTGGTCTGGTTCACACAAGATAGACATTTTAACTTTGATAAGAAGTATCATCGGCTACCAAAAATAAAACAACTTTAAAAGGTTTGTAACAGTTTGCTGTTAATTTTCGCAAGCAGTAGACAACAAAAAATAATCATTACTTCAAATTGCAAAAAACAAAACAAAACAAAAAAGCAAGTGTTCTTTGAGCAATAGCACAGTACACGTCACTGCACTAGGTATTGAAGGATGCAAAAATACCTGTGCTTGTACTCGAAGCAAATGAAAATGCAGCATATGAAACAAAATTTAGGTATACAGTATACAGTGTTTAATCCTTTTAATCAATGTATTGTCACTTAATCTTATTAATAAGATTTCAAATGATCAAGTCGCATTTTCTTTTCTTTTTCACTTTAGGGATCACGACTGTTTTAACCATGACTACTTTGAGCATCAGCGCCAGGCACTCCTTGCCAAAAGTGTCCTATGCGACCGCCATGGATTGGTTTATAGCTGTATGCTTTGCTTTTGTCTTCTCTGCGCTCATTGAATTTGCAGCTGTCAACTACTTTACGAATCTTCAGACACAGAAGGCCGAAAGGAGGGCACAGGTTGCAGCCCCAGCCCCAGTGACGATATCAAAAGCAACGGAACCCTTCGAAGATGAGATGGTTTTGGTAATTGCTTGCTTTTTGAAATGTTATCCCCCAGTTGAGAAACAGCAGCCCAAATAGAGATTACAAACAAACAGTCTGAAAGTAATACAGTTGAGTACAAATTATTACTTTGGGTTGCAAAAGCTAGGCCTACTTTTCTTCCATCTTCAGAGAAAATAGCCCAGGAACAATCTTTCATTTATGTTTGCTCTAGACTTTTTACAGGATCCTTTCATCATTTTCACTAGTTCTAGCAGATTCCAGGCACCCAAAGGAGACAAGAAAATGTTTCTTAGCTTTTACATGTTTCCTTTGAACAGGTCCACTTATACCAACTAGGGAGAAAAACAAAGTTCTTAATGAGATTTTAGAATCTGAAAGATAAAAAAATAGCAGAAACTCTTATGGAATTGGCAATTTTTGTTAGAAATCTGCTTGCTACTATACTAAATAGGGAAAAGATAGGATTTTAAAAAACGTTTAAAAAACCACTTTATTAGAATGGAATGCAGACACCATACCATTAATTAGTTCAGTCATATCAAGAAGTGTTGGACAATCACTGTAACCATCATTTTCAAAACATTGTCTTCCTTCTTGTATTCCTTGATATTTGCTCCCTCTTACTCGATCCCAGCTCCCCTTCTGTAGTCCCAGTAACCCTTAATCTAGTTATTGTTGCTATAAATCCCCCCACCAGAGTTTTGCATACTAAAAAAAAACAGAAAAAAACATGATAAAGAATCAAGAAGGCCACAAGCCATTAAAACAAACAAACAACAGAGATGAACCTGTTTGACAAAAAAATAAACAGAAAAATTTGAAAACCAGCACAAATTCAAGTTTGTCAAAAGGGAGATTTAATGACAAGGGTTTAACCATCAAATCAGATCACTCATTTTAACCTATGATAATCATTTCTACACTATTCTCTGTCTGATAAGCAGGCTATTCCCTTCCCTCAATTATGGTGAGAGGGAAATCTCCAGAGGCTTATACCTGTGTAGATCCTATAATGTACTTGGGACTTCATCTGGCACCCATAGCCTTCTGCAAACCAGGTGTTCACGATTTAAGTGATTCTGATACCAATCCCTCCTGGAAATTCGGATTATATAATCTATAATTCTTGGATCACGTATGTTGGTGTGCCTCTTCTGTGTGGGCTTAGTTAATGTCTCACTCTGATGGCTACATGTTGTAAACAGGCCCTTAGGACCCCAGACACTATTCTTTCTGATAGCCAGACACCATGTAGTTGCTTCATCATCTTTGCTATAGCACCCATATTTTTCCAGTTTCTTTCAAGGGGTGAGTATCAAACAGAGCCATGCTGCAAGAACTAATTGTTCTTAGATTGGAGCTAGGATAAGTATGAACCCCAAATCCATTCCTATATCTATGTCTTCTATATGGCTCTAATTCACCTTAGAGACATGTTTTCATTTTATATTAGGGTACATTATCAATCATCTTCCTGGAGTATAAGGTCCTTGTTTATAGTGTTATTGATTTAGTCCGTGGTAAATATAGTTAAAACACAATTGAGGAAAATAGATTTTAAAAATCTCAATAGAAGGATTATTGAGGTGTACAGATTAAATTATTCTTACATTACTGGACACTATTTATACAAATGATGGGAATTGGTGGTTAGACAAATTTTACACGAGTACTCATTGACATGTCAGACCCACGTCTACCAAAGCAATATGTATCTTACAGAGAAAGTAGGGAGTTGAGGTAGTTAAGTAAATGTTAGTCTACCTACTGACATTTTAATATTCATTTTTTGAACTTCAAGTCATAGCCTAGTTATTTGTTCATATTTAAACATGTTCATATTCACAGGCATTTGTTAATTGCATATGGATGAATGAGCTTCTATCAACAGACTTATGGTAGCTTAGAAACAGGCACTGACTATATTTTAGATGTGCAATATACAAGCAATGGAAATCAAATATTATTTCATTGAAAATCAGAAAGCATTAATTATTCAAGGGCCATAGTAGTGTCCCCAAATTTTTACTTATTTCATCAGTAAATATTTACAACAGTAAACTGTACATGCTTTTGTGTTGTTTGTTGGATTATAGACTTAATTGAAAAATATAAATTACTGTTTAAATAAAATACCAAACAGTAGCTCTTAGGCTTCTCAATGAAATAGTGCAGACACACTGAGTGGAAATCTTTCTCTAACTGACCAATTCTAGTAAACATTTCCAAACTTCCAAGCCACTCACAAGCCAAATATATTTTATGATAAATTTATGATAACATTATTTACATTTATGAAAAATTAGAAAGTGAATTACTTTAGAAACAATCAGGAGTACAGTGTTTAAATTAAAAATGTAATATTTTATTGAAAATTTATATTTAATAAAATAAGAAACTTTTAATATTTACGTTTACTCTGAAGGGTATGATTAGACTATTGTCACAATAGTGGGAACAAAAATTTGATTTTTTTTTGTAATGAATCCTCTTTGAAGGAAATCAAACAAATAAAAACCATTTGTTCTCCCGGGAGTCCAGGCTCAATGAGCTTATTTTAGATAGAAAAATAATCTCGGATATGAAAATGACAACAAAATTAAGACTTGAATCCAGAATCATTGCAATCCAGAATATTAAAGAATATGAGCCCCTCTGCTTTCCAACAATCCAGCCAAATACTAAAATACAGCATGGAATAAGTCACTGAATAAAATATTTTTGAAATACGGGTGAAGTTACTTTTAAAATGCTTCCCAAATCTCAACAATGTTTTAAGTGTATATAGCTTTAAAAGTCAAAATGTATATACATTTTATTACTAAAATAGGTTAGTCTGAGGACACTGCCTAAAATATTTGAAGATCACTTTCTTAGGGAAGGAAAAATATTTTGAGACATAATCTTTTTATGCATCGTTCTATTTTAAGTATCTATAATCACACATTTATAATTTGCATATTCTGCAAAGTGCAAAGATCTCTTCTTAACACCTATCTATAAAGAGGAATTAATGTTTTTCGCCTTTCAGTTTATCAGTTTCTCATTTGGAGAATATAGAAAACAAAAATAGGTATTTGTGAGAAACAGAGTAAAGAAAAGAAACTCAATAATTTTGTTCACACTTACTTATCAGATATTGAAATGAAAAGAAATACAAAAGTCTGTATTTTAATTACCTTACAAAATAGTGCTGTACAAAAGTCTGCATTTTAATTACATTACAAAATAGTGCTGAGAGATATTATTTCGAGTCCCCGGCGATAACACAGTGATTTTCCCTCAGGTATTTTAGGGGAATAACTTAATAAGATGAAATCCAAGATCCTCAGGTCGCCACATAAACTGTCTCATACAACGATAAAATAGTAACACATAATGATCAGGACTTTCACAAAGCTTGATAAAATTTTGTTAATATCACTTCAAAATTCTTTCAAATTGAAAGGTATTTTCTGATGCTGGCTATAAGTATTAAGTCAATGAAAATGAGAATTTTAGTTCTAAAAGATTAGCTCAAATAAAAAGATTAGCTCAAAATAAAAATAAAATTAATAATGACATATAAAGTCAATCTGGAAGTAACAAAATTATGAGACAGACACACTGCCTACTGTGCTAAGGAGTCAAATGAAATAACTAAATTAAATAGGGAACTTTCTCATTTTTTTCATAATTTTCCTTTGGGTATAGAGGAACAAATATGTTACATATTTTCAGTTTACCCAGCACTACTGTATATTAAGATTGTAAGGTCATTTTTTTTTGCTTTCAAAATACCATGGCATTTAAAAATGCCTGTGCAGTGCAATCAAAATAGCATTATTTGAATAAATTGAACATTGAAATCATAAACTAATGTGGTGAAGCGAAAACATAAATAACCACTTGAATATTTCTTGTGATTTCAAGATGTGTTTTCTGAATGTGTCCACCAAGTTTTCCACAGGAAAAGACATAGAACAGATGCGGAGGACAGTTTGTATCACTTTTATCAATTTGATTTTTGACCTTGAGATTTAATGCAATGATGACACACTTGAACTTTTAAAATATTTTCAGCAAACCTGAAATGAAACAAAAACAAAAAGTCTTTAAACCTAAATTCTTAAAAGTGTCCAATAAGCTCATTATCAGTGCCCTATTTTAAACTTGAAATTGATGGTTTGATTCTATATTCTGAATGTAAGAAATTGTCCATCTCTTCTCTACTGCTCGTACGGTGCCTTTCTATGTCTGCACAGAAGACTAAGCTCAGACCTCTCTGTCCTCTTGGTGGATTTTCTAGTTTCCTTGTTACTTTAAAGGTAAACACCCTAAATACTACCTTCCCCGGAAAAAATTCTCTCCCCACCCCAATGTGGTTTTTCCTGTCCACAGTGATTATGATAACCCTTGAAAATAACCTGTGTACAAAATGAAAAAAAATTATTACTCAGGGAATTAACGATATTTATGGTGTTTTTTCTCATCCTTTTCTTTCTGGCCAATTGTGCACATATTTTTTCATTAACTTATTTACACCAAGCTATTTGTTTAGTCATTTAGTGTGACAGGCCCTCTGCAGAATGCCGAGAATACGTCAATAAATGGACTCACAAAAGCCTCTCACCTCAGGCAGCTTCTTGTCGAGCAGAACAGAGGTGGAGTCATGAGTCATAATATGTTGGGATAAAGGGTTTGATTGTGAGTTAAAGTAGCCAGGGAAAAACAGTTCTAGAGCTCCTCACCCAGGCTGAAGGGCTCACCGTTCCTAGAGGAAGTGGTGTCTAAAATTCGAATAGAAAAGGAGCCTAACCCTGTGTTAGAAGCATTAAACAAGTTGCTAGAAAAGTGAGCACCTAGAGGGAAATGGGACATTTTTCTCTTCAAGGTGAAGATGTCTTCTGGACCATTATCAGGTTGCCTTCCGCCTGTGTAAAAAGTTCCAAAATGTCCACTTTGACTCAAAGCACCTTTATAATTTGGAGTTACTTAAAACAAAGCAGTGCTCTAAAAAGACCAAGGCTGGATGGCACTCCGCAGCAGGAAGCCCTGGAATCATTTAAAACCACAGGTGTTTCCCGGCAAACAGTGACAGCCCCAAGCTGAGCCCTCATCGGGACTCTGACAAAATCCCATTTTACCATCAGCAGAAGATGCTGCTCTTGCAAACCTGTAGCTTAAACAGCTTGTGAAATTGGCTTTCTTTTTTCCCCCCGAAATTCAGTGTGATTCTTCCCAAATGGAATCCTGCTGCCGATTCCCAATTATCCAAGAGCTGATTATCCACCATATATGTTAGCCAGGAATTTCCCATTTTCTTTCGAAAGTTGTATTTGCTTCCTGCTATGATTCATCCAATTATGACTGGGCTGTCTGTAAGTTATGACTCCAGTGGCTCAGCAAGTCCATCTCCTCCTACCTGTACCAGGGACAATTGGCAACGGATAGGAATATTTTGGGTTCTCATGAGTGACATCTTGTCGGGAGAGGTCAAGGATGCTGTTGAATATCCTACAATGCCCTGAACCGAACAGAGTGCTGTCCAATTAAAAAATGTCAATATAGTTGCTGTTAAGAGACTCTGCCATAAACACCAAAACTGATGGGAAGAAGAGCACGATCATTGTCACTAAGAGTATCATCCTTAGGGTCTGAGAGCGATCAGAACTTGGCACTGCCGCTTATTACCCACAAAAGACTACGACTTATACTTCCAATCCTCTTGCTCTAAAACGAAAATATTATTTGCTTTATGGATCTTATACAGACACTAAATAAGAAAATGTGTGTGAAGTGTCTAGTAGTATTAATCACCAATAAAAAATAAAAAAAATAAAAATTCACTACCACTGAGTCGATGACCGAGCAGAGCTGCTACTTTGGATTTCCAACACTGTAGACTGCAGCTCTTTATGGGAGTATGACGTCTGAACTACTGATCTCATGCTAAGCAACCCAATTCACAGCCACTACACCACCAGGGCTCCAATCACCAGTGATCACTTAGAAATTATACATCAAGTATAATTAAAATATAGTAAAGCATAACATCAGAAAACAAAGAATTTTACTTCTTTTTTTTTACATTTTTTTACTTCTTTCTTTTTGGCTACTCACAGATTTTTAAGGAAAATAGAAAAAAATGTTCAGAATTGTAATCATTTATTAATTCAGGATATGTTTACGGAGCCTACACTGTGCTCTAAACAAGGAGCACATACAGTGGGTTAGGTGTTGCATTGCTAATTGAAAAGTCAGCAGTTCAAATGCATCAGCCACCCCCTAGGAAAAAGATGAGTCTTTCTCCTGCAAATATTTACAGCCTTGGAAACCCCCAAGGGCATTTCTACCCTGTTCTATAGGGTTGCTTTGAGATGGAACCAATGAGTGGAATCAATGATAATGAGTTGTGAATTCTATAAATATTGGACAGAAACTGGGTTATTGCACTCATATAAGGGAATAATGTGTTGTTTATCACCAAGGCTATTGAAATGCCAGGAGAGGAGATAAGGAACTACAGAAATAATTATACATCTAAATCATATAAAAGAGAACGTGATAACAGTTACAAGAGTTGCAAAAACTAATTAGGCAGAAATGTGTTGGGTTAATCAATGATGTTAACCCTGAAATTCAATTTCAAAAGTGATGAACGATAATTATGAGGTTGGAAGAAAAGTTATTACAGATAAAGAAGGAAAAAATAAAGGTATGTAGACAAGGAGAATGAGAGATACATGCATGTTGTATATAAAATTAATTAAAAAACTATAACTAAGATTCATTGTAGGAAAATAATTACATTTACTCTCTCAAATGCTAAAAACAAAGGATTATCAGGGAGGTAATAACCACCCTCATTATAAAGATGGTAACTTGAAACTTAGGGACCACATGCAGTATGTCTCCATCACATAAGGAGAAATTGGTAGATATGGAATTGTAGTCCTGGGCACTTTGACTCTCCTTTTCTCTTCATTCCTAGATCAACTTTTCACAGATCTAGTTTGAGAAATTATATGTGGAAAAGTGAAATCCTATTTTTGAAGGCCTTTAGTTTCAAGTTAACGTCATTGTGCTCAAAGTTAGTAAGGTGCTGATTCTGAATGATCTCCCCTAACTTTAGGAGCCATCAGTTCATTGTGTCAACATCAAGAGATTCACAAAGAACTTCTTATTGCCACACTTCTGAAGAAGATAGATAGAAAATAAACAAAACAAAAAACAGCGCTTTACATTTTTGTGGTGTATTTTGCATTCACTTTAAAAAAATTTTAGTGAACTAGACTTGCCTGTCTCCTTTTCTGTAACACAGAAATAAAATACACATTTTAAAGCAGTAATGTAAATGATCAAACCTCAAGAACCTAGTAGAGTGCTGGGCCAATGGTTAAATGAGAAAGTCTTTGCATAGAATTTGCCATGATCATCTCAAAGTCGGCTTGACAATACAATTCAATATTGCTATTTCCCCATGGCCCCTGGAAACATACTGGATGAACTCTCTAGGATACTAGTTTAGCATATCAAATAGCAACAGTCAAGGGGGAAATGGAGAAAGAACAGGTTCTTGGAGCTGTGGTTTGAATTCTAAATGTCACCATATCAGCGGGTCACTCAGATCCTGTGGTTCAACCAGCGCTAGAGAGCAGCTGCCTCTCCTGTTGCTGCTAGGTTGCTGGGTAAAGCCACAGGAGATGACCTACATGAGTATCACACCCTGTAGGGCAGTAAAGGACTGATTTTGCTGCCAGGGGGGAAGCAAGGTCATTGTACAAGAGCAGGGAAAATGTACAGCAAATGTTTAAAGGCAGGGGCTTAGAAAAGACAACCTGGCTTCAAAGAGAGGGCCTGCTCTAGGAGGCATATTAGAAAAGGAGAGCTCCCCCCATCCCGACTCTGACAGCATTGCTAGGATTCTAAATCAAACCCAATCAGTCTTTGAACAAGGTCTGAAACTTTAGCATAGAGATGAGAAAATGCTGGGATAAAATGCGGCCTAAAATTAGTCACTGGGCTTATTTCTAGCCCTGTCCTCGGGCAAGGCATTCCTAGCATTTTTAACTATTAATTAATGCACTAATCATAATGTTGAAGATTAAAATAGGCTATTTCATGATTCTATGGGACAGAAAATCTGATAGAAACAAACCTATAACAACTTTGGGATTATTGTTCCATTCCTCCCCGCCCCACCGCACTACTTGTGATCTAAGATAACTATTAGAGACATTCTGAATGGGAAGGAGAAAGCAATCTAGATTCCAAGAAAAAGAGTCAGGGATATTACAAGGGATGAGGAGTCTTTCCACTCAATTTAAAGCCCCTTGGGCTTTGAGTTCTGAGAAGTCCTGGTGGCTTAATGGTTAAGCATTGGGCTGTTGCTCGCAAGGCCAACAGTTCAAAACTGCCTGTCCGTGGGAGGAAGAGTTAATATAGTCTTGGAATCCCATAGGGGCAAGTCTGTCCTGTTCTGGCCGATAAGGGCTCACGAGGGGTCCGAATCAACTTGATGGCACTGAGTATGCTTTTTGAGAGGCTTTGAGTAACATTGGTTTCATTTCTATGTAATTTTATATAATTTGTTTCTAAATAAAAGAAATATTTGAAAGGGTATGTTGAGTATAGAATAATAAGATGAATGAATGAAATGTACGTTTCTTGTATTATTTAACCATGCATGCCAAATTAAAACCTGCACCCCATTGCTTATTCCTCTTGTTCCACAGGAAAATATATAACTGGGAGGTAGATGGGCCTTTGCAGCTTGCCTTGCCTCTACCTAATCACACAATGTTTAGAACAGTTTGGGGGACATAGAGCATGTTAGAAATTAATGACTTATTTATTTACTAAGTGAAATATTGGGTAAAGCAAATGGATATTTGTTCTCCTAAATATTTGGGTTATATCCCTCTCTTGGTAAGGTAGTACCATGAAATATTGTGAAGAATATTTAATGTCTTTTCGTACAGTTAAATAATAAAATATATCAGTGATCAAAACATGGATGGTTAAGTAGGGAATATCTATCATTTTACCTAAGGAACCCTGGAAGAAACAAAGTGCTCAACTACTAGCCCAAAGGCTGGAGATTCAGTCACTCATAGGCAAATTGAAAGACAGGCCTAACGATGTTCTCGTGAAAGGTCATAACCCTGAAATCTGACCCATGGAGCAGTTCTACATTGTATGCGTGGAGGCACCATGAGTTAAAAACAACAGATGACAACTAACAACAAATCCGCTTGACAGGCTATGTTTGTCTTTCTTCCACAGCATTCGGATTCCAAGTACCATCTGAAGAAAAGGATCACCTCTTTGACTTTACCAATAGTTTCATCTCCTGAAGCCAGTAAAGTTCTTACTAGAGTGCCTAATTTACATACACCTACCACGCCCCCATCACTCTCCCCAACCTTTGGAGGCACCAGTAAAATTGACCAGTATTCCCGAATTCTCTTCCCAGTTGCATTTGCAGGATTCAACCTTGTATACTGGATAGTTTATCTTTCTAAAGACACAATGGAAGTGAGCAGTAGTGTTGAATAGCATGAAGCCAGGGCAAGTCACACCAGTTCTTATTCTCTACAGAATTGTTGTTTGTTTGTTTTTAAAAAGGCATTGAAATTAGTTTAAATTCTTTTAAACCCATGATATCAAAATGGAAAATTCGTACCAAATAGCCTTGAGTACACATGAATGGGTGAAAAGGCAATAACATTTTCTCTTTAAAACTGAAAGTTGAAGATTTCTGGAAAATATGAGTTTTCTACACATTAAAGAAAAATCTTCCATGTAAAGGAAACAGAAAATTCATGATGAGTTTGCCAATCTTTGTCCATCATTGCAACATTTGTCACATTGCACTGGAATAAGAAATTCTTACATTTCCAAATTCTAAGAGATCAAAATTAAAATACAATCTAAATATTTATCAGTAGGCTAATGTAGCATGTTGGAGGCCTTTTTTAGTCAAGTGGCTTTCAATCACATTTAAAACCTATATTAAGCTTAGCCATTTGTTTTTTACCCTTGCTGTCTCTTTTACCTCAATAAATTATGGTGTTTGTATACATATGAATTATAAATAGATGATAAATTATATATGCATATGTATATAGCTTTACTTGGGCTGCAATAGAATGTTGCTTTATTTTGTTAAATTCTCCTTTAAAGTACTTGTAATATACTTAGCATAATTCAAAGAAGTAGAAAAAATAGTGATTTAAATGAAACCTTGCATATTAAGATTGGAGTTATTGCTGTCATATTTTCACCTTCCTACGGATAAAGCTAAATAAATCAACAGTGAACGTGATTGTTTGGACTTATTAATAAAACTTGGTAAAAGAATTTTCTTGGATAAGAAGAGATGAAGTAATTATTTCTGTCACAATGTTGTTAGTGTATGGGAGGCTCTGAAGATCTGGGAAAAACTGGTTGTATCACCTACTGTAAAAAGTAATATAAGCAGCTAGTACTGTACCTCCTCCTCTTAATCATCAATAAAAAGGGAACGTGAGTACTTTAATCCCTTCACCCTTCAAGACCTTCCTAATGCTTACCTTCCCCAATGCTTCTTTCACATAGAATGGTTGTACCAACAGAGGGAAAAGGAGACTAGGGGCAAGAGAAAACCCAGAAGCCACTTATTAGCAGTTCCCAGATTCTTTCCTCCATGAATATCACTCAGAGCTCTGAGCCCTTAAATAAATACTTTGCCACTATTATTTTTGATGCTGTTGTTTATCCAGGAAAAGAAAAACATTTGATCCCTTATCAACTAGAATTGGCACTATTGAAAATGACACTTGTGTTAAGCTGGGTTGTCTAGACAAACAAATCCAGTGATACGCACATGAATATAAAAAATAGCTCCATATTAAGAAATTATTATATATCACGAAGACATCCCAACCCAGTCGAACCCAAGTTCACAAGCCCAGAGCTAGTTCATGAGTCCCTCTTCAGACTTGTGCAGCTGCAGACTGGTGACACAGACTATGAAGCAGGAAGATAACAGGCCATCGCAGTGTTGAGGCCACGCCGGAGGCGGACACAGAGTCCCATGGAAGTCTCCACTAGAAGGAACGTGAAGTAGTTGGGAGACAGACTCCAGAGTTCTTCACTCGCATGCAAATTTCCACAGAGCCCCAAGGAGGTGTCATTGTGCTGCCACTTGATTGACAGGTTTGACTCCACCTCTAGCCAGGAGTGGCTGGTTGACATCAAATCAATCAATTATCACAGAACTATACTAATGTGCAGGAGATGAAGATCTTAGTTCGACTTTCCCATTCATTAGCTACATAGCCAATTATTTTAGTTTTGGGGAGCCTCAGTTCTATTATTATCCATGGAATAAGAACACTGTATCAGATGCCCTTTAAACACTTTCATATTGAACAACTTATGTTTATGCTGCTCTGACAGATTTCTTCAGAACTTCCAAACTAACTAGTATGGATTTAAAAAAAAATAATGTTCATTATCTAATTCTGAAAACCAGCCAATGAAACCCCCGTGGATCTTCATAACTGTCAGCACTGCAACTCATCATGGGAATGATGCAGAAAAGAGTAGAGTTTAGTGCTCTTGTGCACACGGTGGGTGAGTCACAGGCCTGACTCTATTGAAGCTAGCACCACCAACATATTTAAACCTTAACTATTCATTTCTATTTAAATTGAAGTTAGTCTACAAAGAGCCTGCTACTATTTTAAATAATTAAATTACAGCTTGTTAATGCTATTTTTAGATGCCAACGAGTGAGTTCTGACTCACAGTGACCCCTATGTTCAATAGAATGAGACACTCTTCAGTCCTGTGTCATCCACACAATTGTTATGTTTGAACCCATCGTTGCAGCTGCTGTGTCAATCTATCTCCCTTTATTTCACGGATCTTTCACTAAGCATGGTTTCATTTTCATCTACTGATCTTTCTTGATGGCAGGCTCAAAGTACATAATCTCACCATCCTTACTTCAGCATAATTCTATATGTACTTTTATCCAATAAAACTTTTTTGGGGGTGGGGCAGTCCATGAGGCTTTGAATACTGTTCATAAACACTGTATTTCAAAGTAATCAATTTTTTCTTTGTTCTTCCTTATATTTTTTCCAGTTTTCACATGCACATGAGGCAAATGAGAATACTATCATTGGGTCAGGTTCATTTTCGTCCTCCAAATGACATCATTGCTCTTTCACAATTTAAGTAGGTCTCCCCTGTTGGTCTAGTGGTTACTCATTCGGCTGTGCTCCACAACAGTAGTTCAAAACCACAAATAATTTCATGGAAGAAATACGGGGCTTTCTACTCCTGTAAGGAGTCGCAGATTCAGAAACTCACAGGGGCTGGTCTAACTTGTCATACAGGGTCATTATGAGTCAAGATCAACTCATTGGCAGTTGAGTGCAACAGATTTGCTCAATCAGCACGTCTTTTGACCTGGTGACTGTTGCTTCTCAAACATTGTTTGTGGATCCAAATAAAATGAAGTTCTCAACTAATGAAATATTTATCTTCTGATCATGATGATATCTACTGGTTCAGTTGTGAGAATTTTTGTTTTTTTTATACTGAGGTATAATCCATATTGAAGTCTTCTGTCTTATCTTTATCAGCAGGTGCTTCAAATTCTCCTCACTTTCAGCACACAAAATTTTGTTATATAGCTGGTTGTTAAAAATATTTCCTCCAATCCCGATGCCATGTTCTTCTAAATAATCCAGAGTGTCAGATTATTTGCTCAGAATACAGTTGAAATAACTATGATAAAAGGATACCACTCCAATGTGCATCTTTCCTGATTTTAAATCATGCAGTATGTCTTAGTTCTGTTTGAATTACCACCTTTCAATCTATGTACAGATTCGGCATGGTTTTGTTATTCCCATTCTTAACAATGTTACCCATAATTTTTTTAAGTTCCAGACTGTAAAATATCTTTTTATAGTAAATAGAAATCAGGCAAATAACTTCCTAACATGTTCTGCTTTCATTCCAGTTTCATCTGATATCAGTAATGATATCCTTTGTTTCATATACTCTCAGGAATCTGCCTGGGACTTACAGCAGTTCTCTGTAGCTGCAGCCAGTTTTAATTATCTCCTTCAAAATTTTGTTTGCATATGACATTAATGATGTCATTTGTTCATTTCAGCATTCCGAGGTATAACGTTTCTTTAGAATGGTATTCCAAAGAAATGGCTCTTTCCCAGTTGGTTGATTTGGATCCTGTCTGTCACATTTCTTGGCTTGAGTGAATGAGGGCTTCCTACATTATATCCCTTTGTTGAAACATTCCAAACAATATTCTCTCAGTTCCTGGAACCTTGCTGTTTCAAAATGCTTTTAGTATAGCTTGAACTTCTTATTTTCATATCTTCAATTTTTTTTCATACATTACATCATATGTTTTATCATATGATATATAGTTAAACATTGAACAATTCTTCTTGTACAGTAACTCTTTATTTCTCCCATCTTATTTTGATGCATTCTTCATTAGTCAATATGTTGTCTATAGATTGTTCCTAAATTTCAATTTATGGATTGAAAATTTTCTCTGAATTTTCCATATTGAGAAGTGCCAACCATGCTATTCCCTTCCGGTTTTCTAATATTTGTGTTGTTCTGAATTGAACTGAATCGAATCAATGACAGGGAGGTCTTTACACTTTCATTGTTATACTTTCCTTGTTTTTCGATACCCTGTGAAATCTTTGTTCAACCCTTTTACTTCATCATTTCTTCCATTTACCTTAATTCTTTGCATTTAAGAACCAGTATCTGTTTTGCTTTCTGACAAACAATTGATCTTCTCTTTATTTCGTGTCCTACTCATGTCTTTTAGCTTTTTTCATATATTAGGTTATTCTACAATTTGTCTAACCTTTTGTCATTAGTGCTCCAGTGCATCAACCCTTTCCTTTAGATGGTTTCTAAATGTAGGTATAACATGAGGCAATACCATCTTAAATGTTATTTACACTATCATATATATTACCCCATATACATAGATCAGAAATGAAGTTTCTCAAGGTGGGCATGACACAACACACTTCTCATTGCGATGAGAAATCAGACCAGGCATGTGAAAATAGAAGGCACACTAGATGATTTAATACAGAGATGCACAGGACAGGAGGAAGCCAGTGTGAATGTAATAATAGAATCTGCAATGAGCTGCTGCTCTCTGCATAGGAGGGCCAATCCCATGGCAGTCCTCATCATACAGCATTACAGCAGAATGAGAAAATGTCTTTATCCCTTCCCTTTGGCCTTTGCGATTTCCTCCAGTGCTGCCTATTCAGAGACCCAAATGTGAAGCCCTCTTGAAGGATAAAGGAAAACTCAGCAATTTATTAACAGGATTACAAGGAAAGTATGGGATGGTAGATTTGGAATTATGTGACAATTACTTAAAGATAAAATAGACTGGAATCTAAATGGTCTATGGTCTAATTGAAGTTCTTTAAATATATCTTTAATGATTGTATTCAGGATAATAATAGATGGGTGGCATAATGGAGACAAAAAAACTCTGTCATATTTACTGATAAAAATCCATTGCAGTAAGTTTTAAGTAATCACCAAATGAGGTAGTAAATATAAGGAACTTAAAATAGTGTCATATATAGACATAGTTCTACAGGATTTTTATCATCATTTGGATTATTTTAATGTATATTAGTACTAAGCACTGAATAAAGTCTTTAGGTGGCATAAATGATTTGTTTTGAACTACGAACCTAAATATTGTCTCAAACTCATCCAGGAGCACAGGAAAAGAAGCTTGGAGATCTTCTTCCATTAAGATGACAGTCATGTCAGTTCCATCGAGCAATTCTAATATGTAGCACCTGGGGCCACCATGGGTTGAAGTGGACTCCAGTTCAACAAGCAAAACCAGTGTAAATAATACCAATGAAATATGTTTGCAATAAAATACAAATTCCATGAAGTATGAACTTCATGAATCGTGAACTTACATTTAACAAGTCTTAGTTCATAAAAAAATACAAACTCTGTTATAGGTCCAAAAATATGAAGGCCTAAGAACAAACAACATAAAAATAATCACTGTGAAAAAGTGAATTTAATTAAAATGTGTATAAACTTTTGAATGCAAAACTCATGTTCTGTTCTATAAACATTTGCCGAAATCACAATAAAAAGTTAAAAAAAACCAGTAAAATAAATAAATAAGAACTGTAGTACACGGTGCTTGTAACTAAACAAAGGGGGACATTTAAAAATAACTTTTCATAATTTTTGACTGTTTGATTATGTGTGATTGTCACGTGTTTTTAACAATCTAATATGTTCTGTCCCAGAAAAATCAG